CTTAGTTGCTGTGCTGCTGGGGTTCCATTGAGAAAGTTCTTACCTATATCTACTAACTCCAGAGTATTTCCTACTCTTTCCTGTATCAACTTTAGAAAAACATTACATTTTCAAATAACCAAGATGAATATTTTTCTTTGAGCTCTAGGTGGCAGAATTGTATCACAATTTCAAAACTCAGTTTAATCTTTTTGGTACCATTGTATCTTTTTAAAAGTAAGTTAATAATTTAAGAATTGTCGGTAGCTAGCCTTGCCTCTGAGTATAAACATTTTTAAAAATCAAAAGTAAACATTTTGACTGATGATCTCTGTATACTGTTTTTATCTGCTAAGTTCTAAGAGTCTTATAGATTTTACATAGACCTTCATTATTAGTGTTATCAGGACCTTTATATTTTCTGAGTTTCAGGGAAAAAAGATAGCTTTAAGCTTCCATGAGAAATATAAATACGACCTTTATACAGTTGCGTTGTTACAAGTACCCCAACTAAAGCAACCTGATTTTGTAATGCCATTAATTACTATATGTCTTACTCTGTTTTGTGTTGCTATAAAGATACCACAGATTGAGTAATTTATAATGCTCAAGAATTTCTGAAGTTACCATTCTGGAAGCTGGGGAGTCCAGGCTGATTCTGCATCTGGTGAGGGTTAAAATTAAAACTAGTGAAGTATTTGAAACTATACAAGATGGGGAGTGTAGTTCAAGCCAAGGAAACAGAGTGCCTCATTTTCTTGAGAAGAGAAATTATGTTGCTGTACTTAAGTGCCAGTCAAGTGTGGTTCATTAAACCATTGAGCAAATGATAGGCAGAAACAAAGGGTCACAAAGGAACACTTAGACATTGGACCCAAAAAAACCAAGGGAGAACAGGGTCTGTAAGGCTAAGAAGAATGTGTCATGAAGGAAGGGGTAGTCAACTAGTTGGCAGTGTTACATGTTGCTAACATTGTTTATGTAAAAGCTTATTTATATTTTCCAATCTTTGAAAAGTGCACATTGACTCCTAAAAATATTTCAAAACTCTTTCAACATCTCATGTATCTGTAGTGTTCTGATTGTAACACTGGAGTTTATTAGGCTTTGAGGAGAATAGCATAGTTAATTTTTTTCAGAATTAGCCTCCTTTTGATAACAAATTATATTTAATTCAAATGTTACCTTGTTTTCTGGTTATATAGTTGAGCAGATGCTGAATATGATCAAAATTAGATAATTCTGAGTAAAATAAAATTCATGAAATAACACTGGGTTTCTGATAACTGGATTCTGAATCATTTTTCTACTAGTAGTTGGTTTAACTTGTCTGTTTTCTGTTGCTATAATGAAGCACCTGAGACTGGGTACATTACAAAGAAAAGGGGTTTAGGGCTGGGGACATAGCTGAGTAGTAGAGCACTTACCTAGCATGTGTGAGGCCCTGGGTTTGATCCCCAGCGTCAGAGGGTGTGTGTGTGTGGGGGGACAGGTTTATTTAGCTCATTAGATCATAGTTTTGGGGACTGAAAATCCAAGATTAGACAGCCTCATCTATTTATCCTGTGATGTGGTCCCCCTTGGTCAGGTCACAGCATGGTGGAGAAACAGGGACTTGGCCATATGCAGAAGAGCAAATATATGTGGTTGCTTTGCTTAATAACAACCCACCCTCAGAGAAATAACTCTTCAAGAATAGCGTTATTTCCTTCTGAGAGCAGAAGGAAATGAATTCTGTTAGGCCTCACCTTATCATTAAGAAGATGAAGATAATGAAGAGTAAGCCTTTTCTAGCACATGGACCTTTGGGAGACAGATTCCATCCAAATCATAGCACTAATAGTGAAACCTTATGATACAGTAGAGAGGAATCGACAGGAAGAAAACTCAGTCCCAATTGCTCACTTAAGTAAACTTCCTGCCTTTGTGTACTTAAGGTGGCCTCAATTAGGATCCATTTATATTTTAGAATTTTTCCAAGAATATTTTTGCAATTCTGCAATCTGTGAAAGCCAGAGAAGAAGGGCGTGCACCTGAACAGCGACCAGCTCCAAACGCTGCACCTGTGGTAAGAATATTTTTCTGTTTATATAGAAATTTTTTTTTTGTTATTCATTTATTCACATTTGCATACATTGTTTGGGTCATTTCTCCCTCCTGTCCCTGCCCCCACTCTCTCTCCTCCCCTCCCCCCCTTCCCGGCAGAACATAGAAATTTTAATAAACGTGCCAGTTGTTTTGTATATCAGTGTTGTCATTCGAAGACATCGTACTTTTTAAATTAGTAGGTTCTATAGCTTTTGCCAGTCTAGCACATCTGATGGATGTGAAGACCCTCTGTAGTATTAAAAGTTTTCAGCGGTGGGCCTGCCTCGTTCTTGTAACCCAGGAGATGCACCTGGGCAGGGGTATCTAAGGGGTACTTAACCATTGTCATCAGCTTTACCTTCCTGTTTGGACCTCTTTTTGAAATTGTTGGTATCTGAGGCATCTTGGTTTGTGTGTCTTCCCTTGTCACCCACCATGTGGCCCTTTCATTGTGCCTTAGTTTCAGCTATTTACTATTTGAGATTCCATTTAGGGCTCTCCCAAAGTAAATTCATATGTGACATAAATATGCAAATTTAAAAAATACATCAGAATTTTGATAGAGTACTAATATAGCCCATGTAAGATATAGTAAGTTTATTTGTTCATGAAATCATTGATATTTTAACTTTTAGAGATAGCAGGTTTTTTTTTTCTTTTTTTGTGGTGCTGAGATGAAACCCAAGGTCTCACATATGCTGAGCAAGCATTCTACCACTGAGCCACACCCACAGCCAGAGATTTTTTGATTATATTTAGATAAATTCTTTTGGTTGGTCTACCAACAAGTGTTCAAATACATACTGTTTGTCAGTGTTCTGGTCTTGAGATACAATAATGAGAAACAGAGAAAGAAAAAGATGGGGACTGTGGTCCCTGTCCTCTTTGAGCTGGCAGTCTAGGAAACTAGACTTCTTAGATGTAACAAAAAGGTAGTGGCATAAGTCCTCTGATGTTAAGGCACAGGATACTTATTACAAATTGGTTGACATTTCTAATAGCAGTTGTAGGGAAGCATGTCAAATCTTAAAACATTTTAATCATTGTCTTTGTGACTGCGAATATTGTTGATATTTTCATAATCATTAGAAAACTAAAAATGTTAACGTTTGGCACTTGACTATAGAAGTATACAGACTTAGCAACAGTCTTGATAGCTTTCATTCATATTTAGAGTGGAGTTCTATTGTAACAAGGAAGAAGAGTACTTCAGTCTTTGTGACTATTATGAATTTCCCAGCCAGCTTTGGGATATTCGGCAAATATCTGCTTTTAGATTATTCTGGACTATGAATTTAATATAAAGCATTAGTGACTTAAATTATGCATCATTAGATTGATAACTTTTTCCAAGTACTCAGTGTCTGATATCTTATACATATATGATGGGCTTATTGTCATAGTTGCCATGTTTATTTAAGGATTAAAATGTTGGTGGGTAATTCAGTTAAAACAGTCTAATACATCAGCTCAATAGACTGCATTTTTTTTGATTAAAAAAATCATCAATGGAGGGAGAGTATTAGTTCACAAAGATATTTAAATAACCAGAATCAAATTGCTAGCCATTTTATTTTTGAAGTTTTAAAGAATTTTGGTTTAAGCATATTTGGGTTTGTTTGTCCTCATTCTTGATAGGGATAACATTTTTCTGGCAGCAAATCCTTTCTGAAAAATGACAGTCATCAAATGACAAGTAATCTACTTACTACTTTTATACATTTGCATATGTATAGTAAGAAAAAAGCTTAGCGAACATATACCCCTATAATGCTTTTAGTTAGGAGTGTTTCTTAATATTGTAAATATTAACTTGTAACTCATAATTGTTTTTCCGTAGGATCCCACGTTACGTACTAAGCAGCCTATCCCAGCTGCCTACAACAGGTATGACCAGGAAAGATTCAAAGGAAAAGAAGGCAAGTTGCTTCCTTTTTCTCTTCCCTTTCCTATGCAGTGCTGAACTTGAGAGGCAGTATATCACCTTTTTAAAGAGTAAGGGTTGGCAAAATAACTTCTGCAGGCCATCCATGTTTTTGTAAATAGTTTTCTTCAAATGGTTACACTCATTCATTTATGTATTACCTGTAGCTGCTTTAGCTTCTTAACAGACTATTGAGTTGTTTTCGCAGACCGTATAGCCTGCAAAGTCTCAAAATACTATTTGGTCCTTTGCAGAAAAAATTTGTTAACCTCTGGTTAGTAGTTTGGATTCTGAACCCAGATAATTTGTGCCACAGTTAATTTTTATGTGAATTTTAGTGTTATTTTAACTGCATTCTTTTTCAGTTTTCTCCTGTCTATACTTATAGTACTAATAGTGATGCCTATTTCTTAGGGTTATTGTAGAGATTAAATTTGTTAATAAAGTTGAAGTTCCTAGAATAGTGTCTGGTATGTAATAAATTATTTGCAAATATTTGCTATTAATACTAGTTTTGGTTCTAAGGAATTTATTTTGGGTTGGAGATTGTATGTATTAAATTGTGTTTCCCAGATTATAAATGTATACATTGAGAATGTAGCCAGCATAGACATGGAGCAGCAGTTTGAGGACTTACTTTGTGATGGCCTACATGGTATTCTGGCTAATGCAATAATGAACCATTTCTGCATTAGTGAGGTGGACAATGCTTTATCTTGAGATCCTCATTCATCTGGACTTTCTATAAAAATATGAGACAGGCAATTGAAAGTTTAACATTACTAATTTTTTTCTGCATAATTTGATCTTTGCATTTAGTTTCTTTAAAGAATATGTTGCCTTCATGCAGTGAATTTGTTTTCGTACTGATTTTATTTACTGCATAAAAGTACATCCTGAATAAGCACCATAGAAAGACAGTGATCTGTTCTTTCACTCACTGCAATGTTTTCCTTATGGAATGAATTAAACTAAGTAGCCCACAGAACAAATCCAAACCTGTATGGGCCAGATTCAGCTGCTCCATTCGTACACAAATATTATTTATCTTATTCTTGTACTGCAATTGCAAAACTCAATAGTTGTGACAGAGACTTATGGCCTACAGTGTGTAAAAAATTTGCTATATGACCCTTTTACAAGCAGAGCATGCTGAGACTGTGTCATGGGACTGTCATTATTAACAACATTGCTTTCCACAAAATATGGAACAATCTAATTTTGAACATAGTTGCAGAGATAGTCTTAACCAGTTAATGCAGTTGACTTGTTTGTGTGTTGGATATGTTTTTGAGACCAGTGTCTTAAAACTTTTTCCTTCATAAATATGTAAGGTAATGTTACAAGTCTAAACTCAAGGCTTTGTATATAATGTTGGACTTTCATATGTAGTGTAGATTATAGCTAGATTTCTTAGTTATCATGAAATGTATAAAATCTAACAGTAAACTCCTTTTCTTTGTAGAAACGGAAGGCTTTAAAATCGACACTATGGGCACCTACCATGGTATGACACTAAAATCTGTAACGGTAAGTTATTTTGCCTGTAGAGGTTCTTGTGTTCTATACATTGCATTTTATGTGAGTAGCGGATATTGAACGCAATTTTTGTTTTCTA